CCCGATGTGGGTCAGTGACTTGTGCCCGAGTAGGCTAATCACCGTAAAAAACAATAAATAAAATAATTAAAGGATACAATCATCCTTTTAGAGGTTTTCGTATATCTAGTAAACATGGATACTTGTTATGTTAATGAAGTTTTCCAACGATATAATCTGCGTCCCTGGACTCGGAAGCCAGCGTTATAATAAAACTGCAAAGTTTTCACCTGCTGTTTAATAATAAAAAAAAAACGATTCCTAGTGTGGGAGGCATTATCATTTACAGACTATGAAGTCGTTTCATTATTTCCTTTTGTTAAACAGACGGTTCTGAGTAGCAATTGTGGTTAACATCGTGGAGAGATAAGCAGTACGTACACTCTCAACAATTTGGACACACACACACACAAAAATAGTTAATGGGAAAATGGAGAGAATTTAGGTGGTGAGGAGAGAAGCTGGAACACCAACTAGCTGAGCCACCCCTGATGCACACGTACTTGTTCTTTTATTGAAGGAAGTGTACTAGCCTTCACGTGATGGGAAGGCAAGAGAGTGCTACATTGTTTAGCCGTTCCAATAGCTATGTGTGAGAGGAGGCAAGAATGTGCATCACCATTTTGCTGTTTTGAGAAAGGAGGCAAGAGTGTGCTACACTACCTCACTATTATGACCAAGAGGTCCCAGAACGGTTATGCTGCTCCTTTCTCTTTTTATTGTTATTATTTTTTCTCAGATGAGAAAGAGGGAATATTTACAGATAGAAAGATGAGGACGAAAGGTTGGGACTGCAAGGATAGGAAGAAGGTAAAAGCAGGGTGAGACAGCCGCAAGATGTCCATTTCAACTGACCATCTTATGATTGTTTCACCCCGTTCTTATGGCAAAAGATTTAACAATAACGATTGAGAGACAATCTCCGATTGAGTTCTAACGAGCAACTAAGGTTTTTGTCATATAGGGCAGACTTTGTGATTTTATTGCAACTACTTAGTGGAAATTAATTCGTATAGGTTAAAAGTTTACTCTCTTTAATTTAAGATTTCGTTTATCGTCCAACCCAACTCGGTGATTTACAAGACCCACTATAAGTTAAATTATTCATGATATAACCCAAGCACCTTTAAAACAGGTGGGTGATCCCAAAAATTATGAGAAAAGAATAAACAAAATGAAAGTCACTATAAAGTATACCCATCATTGGACGCAGACGGTAGCTTTCACTTAATACCAAACAAAATCATTTGGGCGTTACTTTTGTTTTTGTGTTAGCTTACATTATATCAACCAATTAAGTGCATATTATAATTTCATTTACGAGGAATATTTATTACATAAACTTTCAAAAATCACTACTCTGAGCCATGTGTCAGGGCACCCCAAGACGTTAAATATGAAGGTGGAATAATTGGGGCTTGGCCCAGTGGTTGGCCTCTCACCCCCAAAGGTGGATTCCGCTCAATAAAATAATATTTTTTCTCGGTCTTTGATATGCATGGCAATGGTTTTTAAGATACAAAGCAGAAATTTGATAAGCTAATGTAAACAGCCCCGATAATGCTCACGAATGTTTAAATTTAGGGGGATGGGTGCCCCTGTTCACGACAACTGTTTTAAACGTGCATTTAATTCCGTAGTTGTGATTCAAATGTGGATTTTTTTTTTTGCTTCCACAACTAACAGGTAGAGTGTTTCATACGACTAATAATGACAGTACCTCATGTTGTTCATTCTGCAAGATTGCTTAGCAAGCATGAAATAGGTGTATAATATCAATCTTATTTCGGAATTCATATATTTCTGTGAGGGTCTTTCCTGTCACGTTTTGCAATACTGGTTTTGCAATAATTTGAGACACCAGTTTCCTGCTGGCGTACATTAATGCAAATGGAAGTACAAGGGATCAAAGTGGGTCGGGTTTTTTAGTTTGTATTATATAGTGCGGTTAATGATTGTCAAAGACATATATTTTCAAAGCAGCCCACGTTTGTTGTGTTGTTTTCAGATATTGAGGAACTATGACGCCTCTGGAATTTTCCACGCACACAATCCCAGGGAGCTGATATCAGGGGTTGTTGTTGATGATAAACTAAACTGAAGAAACCTCTTGCAATCCATCCACAGTAAAATCAATAAACAGTGCGGGATCCTGTATTATACTCGCCAGTCACTCACTATTGCAGCAATGAAAATTTTTTATTTTAATCTTGTTTACCAACACTTGATTCAATGCCTCCGGCACCATTAAAACAAAACCCCGATTTACTTGAGAAAAAGAATATGTTTACACAAAAGAACAGTTTGCTAACATGAAAATGTTAAAATTTGAAGATATTAACACTAATGTGATCTATTTGTTTATAAATCAGTTAATCACTTGATTGGACGTAATTATTTCCAGTTTCGGAATAACCAGATCTGCTACGATAATCCCCCATGAGCTCTCAATCCCAGACCTAAATGAAATATCATGGCGTGAATGTATGGAACAAACCCTCACCCACTCGAGTCAAGACTATGCTACCTTCCTTTAATTAACTCTTAAAATATATCTATTGTTTACTTTTTAAGATTTTGTAACACTTACAATATATATTGTCACTTTGATAGAAATTATCAATGTAATGATTAAATATTTTGCCGTCCCCATGTTGATATTGATTCCACCTACTTGTCAGATTACTGAATATCAATTATGATATGCAGTAAACGTGTATTTATAATATAACTGTAAAAATAATAAATAAAGTGATAAAGGTGGTAACATTCTAGTATGTATTTACCAACACCATTTTACATGTGAAATCAAGATGATACTAAATTCCGTATAAAAATTCCTTGAGCTAAATGTACAGTAGACAGTGAACTAGATGAGCAATAAGAGGACTCAGGTTCTCACTTGACTTAGCCATGTCAATCTTCTACTTATTGTCCACTCTGTATCTGTAATTTTCTGGATAAATAAACTGTTTTAGTATTAATATCAATTTCAACCTATCTCTTCTGCTCTTGACTACATTATATACCTTACTGTATCTTGGTGTCTATCCTTCCCATCTCCGCCCGTCTATTGTACATTGCATCCTTCTCTTATTTATCATCCTGATACCCTTCTGTTCCCCAATTTCTCCTCTTCCCTACTCCCTATCCTTCCCCTCCCTTACCTTCTCCTCCTTCTCTCTGTCCCGTCCCTCCCTCACGCATTCCTCCTCCTCCTCTGATTCCTTCCACTCCCCCAACATCCTCATCTTCCCTACTTCATCCTCCCTCCTCCTTCTCTGATTCCTTCCACTCCCCCAACATCCTCATCTTCCCTACTTCATCCCCCCTCCCCCTCCTGCTACTCCTCCCTGACCCTACCCTACTCAAATTTCTCCTACTCCTTCCTTCTCTTCAACTGCTCCTACCCCTCCTCCTCTCTGTCCTCCTCCTCCCCCACTCCTTCCTCCTCCTCCTCCTCCTCCCTGCCTTTCCCCTCTCCTCCTCCTCCTCCCTGCCTTTCCCCTCTCCCACTCTCTCCTCCTCCTCCTCTTTCTACCTGTTCCCCTTCCCCACCCTTTCCTCCTCCTTCTCTATTCCTTCCTCTCCCACCCTCTTCTCCATCCCCTCCCCCCCCCCACCCTGTGCTTCCCTTCCACTATCCTCTCCTCCTCCCTACACACACTCATCAGTGCCACAATGCTCGACTAGACCTCTACAGAAGCTCTCGGTTATTGAGCAATTTGCATACATTATCCTGAAAAGAAATGGAAGGAGATGAGGAAAGGGAGGAAGGTATGATAAGTGGGGGAAGTGAGAGATGTATGAGAAGTAAGGAAAGCGAGGGAGGTTAGAAAAACGGAGGAAAGAGGGAATTATGAGAGGAGTGGGTAGTGAGGGAGATATTAGACGTGAGAGAAGGAAGGGAAGTATGAAACGTAAGGGAGGTCTGAGATGTGAGAGAAGTGAAGGAGGTATAAGAAGTGGGCGAAGGGAGGTAAGTATGAGACATGAGGGTAGAGAGGGAAGTGAGGGATATTTGAGACTTGAGGGAAGTGAGCGGAGTATGAGACGTGAGGGAAAGGAGGATAATATGAGACGTGAAGGAAGTGAGGGAGGAGTAAGAAGAGGGGGAAGTGAAGGGAGTGAGGGAAGTATGAGAAGTGAAGGATGCATGAGAAGTAGGGGAAGTGAAGGACGTATGAGACGTGAGAGAAATGAGGAAAGTTAAAGACGTGAGGGAAGTATGAGACGTAAATTAAGTCAGATAAGTATGAGACATGAGGGAAGTGAGGGAAAGTATAATAAATGAGGGAAGTGCGGGAGGTATGAGAAGTGGGGGAAGTGAGAGAAATATGAGACATGAGGGAAGTATATTCCGTGAGGGAAGTAGGAGGAGGTTGGGCAGGGTGAATGAAGTGACAGGGGAGGTGGGATGGTGTATGAAGTGAGAGAAGTGATTTACACATGTGGACTACCAAAACACTGTTAACAACACAGCACAAATGCACTACTACAACACTGTTAACAACAGACCATATGTGGACTACTACAACGTTTAACAGCACAACACAGGTGGACTTCTACAACACTGTCACTCAACACTACATAGGTGGACTACTACAACACTGTTAACAACAGCGCACCTGTGGACTTCTACAGCACTGCTAAAAACACAACACTGGTGGACTTATATAACACTGACTCGCAACACAACATAGGTGGACTACAACTACACTGTTAACAACACAACACAGGTGGACTTCTATAGCACTATTAACAATACAACATAGGTGGACTACTACAACACTGTTAACAACACAACACAGGTGGACTTCTACAACAATGTTAACAATACAACACAGGTGGATTACTACAACACAATTAACAACACAACAAAGGTGGACTTCAGCACTGTTAACAACATAACACAGGTGGCCTTCAACACTGTTAACAATGCAATAAAGGTGGACGTATACAACATTGTTAAAAACACAACACAGGTTGACTACTAAAACATTATTAAGAAAACAACACAGATGGACTTCAACACTGTTAACAACACAACAAAGGTGGACTTCAACACTGTTAACAACACAACAAAGGTGGACTTCAACACTGTTAACAACATAACACAGGTGGCCTTCAACACTGTTAATAATGCAATAAAGGTGGACGTATACAACATTGTTAAAAACACAACACAGGTTGACTACTAAAACATTATAAGAAAACAACACAGATGGACTTCAACACTGTTAACAACACAACACAGGTGGACTTCAACACTGTTAACAATGCAACACAGGTGGACGTATACAACAATGTTAAAAACGCAAAACAGGTGGACTACTACAACATTATTAAGAACACAACACAGGTGGACTTCAACAATGTTAAAAAACAACACAGGTGGACTTCTATAGCACTGTTAACAATACAACATAGGTGGACTCTACAACACTATTAACAACACAACATAGGTGGGCTTCAACACTGTTAACAACGCAGCACAGGTGGACTACTATAGCACTGTTAAAAACACAACACAGGTGAACTTCTATAGCACTATTAACAATACAACACAGGTGGACTCCAGTACAAAAGCACTATTAACAACACAACACAGATGGACTACTACAACACTGTTAAAAACACAACACAGGTGGACTTCTATAGCACTATTAACAACACAACTCAGGTGGATTCAACACAATTAACAACACAATACAAGTGGACGTATACAACACTGTTAAAAACACAACACAGTGGACTTCTATAGCACTATTAACAACACAACACAGGTGGACTACTACAACACTGTTGACACACAAATCAGGTGGACTTCTATAGCATTATTAACAACACAACTCAGGTGACTTCAACACTGTTAACAACACAATACAGGTGGACGTATACAACACTGTTAAAAACATAACACAGGTGGACTACTACAACATTATTAACAATAAAACACAGGTGGACGTATACAACACGATTAACAACACAACACAGGTGGATTACGACAACACTATTAACAATACAACACAGGTAGACTACGACAACACTATTAACAATACAACACAGGTGGACTTCTACAACACTATTAACAATACAACACAGGTAGACTACGACAACACTATTAACAATACAACACAGGTGGACTTCTACAACACTATTAACACCACAACGCAGGTGAACGTATGCATCACTGTTAAAAACACAACACAGGTGGACTACTACAACACTATTAACAACACAACACAGTTGAACTACTACAACATTGTCAACAACATAACACAGGTGGGCAACTACGATACTGTCAAGAACACAACACAGTTGGACTACTAGAGCAGAATTAACAACACAGCACAGGTGGACTACAACAAGACTGTCAACATCATAATACACGTGGGCTACTACAACATATTACATATTGAGCTAACACAGACGTTGGTGAACTTAAATAACCCAAGGTGGGCGTCCTGACGAGGCGAACACTACAGTACCTAATACACCGTTGGGAACACATGTTTTACACGCAGTACATGAGTGTTTTTTTCATCATCACCTAATAATATGTCATGAGCAATGTACAGTCCCGTTCAGAAGTTCTTGATACTCTGGCGGTGAGGGGTGCATAGCCTGTTGTACCCTTCCTGGACGACAGGTCACTGCACCGAACCCCCTACCAACACACACAATGGAATTGACAACGGAGCAGTTTGATTCGAACGAATACTCATCAAAAGGAGATGAGAAGGATACTGATATGGATATCCTGCTGACGAGAGAAGAAAACTGTAGTGATAGGAGTATCCATTCGAATATCAGAATACAATAGGGAAATTGGTTTCGAATGAACACCATGAGAAGTAGGTGAACAGAGCTCATATATCAAGAGTATTCAATGCATTCATTACTTGAAGTTTTTTTATAATACTCTAGCTATATTTACAGTATATACGTGTTATGTTAAATAGTGATAATTGCCGACTAAGTGTTAGATAACATTAACTCATATGTATCACATCTTCGACATACACAATGAAACACTCCGACTCAGGTGGGCTGTGTGTGTGTGTGAGTGTGTGTGTGTTTCACCGAGGCGGTGTTGTTATTTGCAACTGATGAGAGTGATCAGAAGCTCCACCAAGTCAAAATGAATCGGAGTGACAAGAAGTTGGTGCTCAGAGGTCGCATTATCACTCTCTGTGATAATGGTTTCTCCATACTGGGTATCACACATGAAGTTCGTCTGTCCGCCACAACTGTGATAGGTAAATTATTACTGTCTCAGCAAAGGAGTGGACCATAGCAGCATTGATGAAGGAAGGATAGAGAATGAGAGACCTGCATCATATACAAAGTTTAGGTAAAGATTCGGAAAACTCTATGAAGGAACTTCATATTATGGGCTTTGAAGCTTGCTGAAAATCCTATTTTTTGGTGAGTGAGCGAAACTAGTGCACTTGCTATTAGACCTCATAATAAAACACCTTTAGGAGGTGACAAGGCCAATTTTAACACATCTATATTAGTATAGGCTGTGACTAGCAGTTGAAGAAACTGGAAATAGAGAATGGTAATCTGCGCATGTGCCGTGTCACTGCTTGACTACCATCTGCGCATGTGCCGTGTCACTGCTTGACTGAGAGTTAACTCACGTGTCCATTCCTTTTCCAAACCTACAACAGGTATAGCAGGGGGATGGAGCCGAAGGAAGGGCGGGATAATTGTTTGCACAATCTTTGCTCCTTCACCAAAAATAGATTTTTCAGCAAGCTTCAAAGCCCCTATTTTAGTGAGGTGAGCTTCGCTAATGCGATTGCTATATTCCACAGGAAGGAGGGTGCTAGGATGTAAGGGGAGCAGTGAGCACACAAATGATCATTTAAATTTTATTTATCGTTAGATTAAGCTGCATTATTTTTTTTTCTAGCATGCTGTCTATGGGTCCAGGGGTGAGACCCATTGCCACGCAGGGTGCGTCTGACACATGGCGAGATAGGTATCTTGCTATGAAGCAGGAGGCCGATTTCCACTGACCCCATTCCCGGACCTTTAAGGGGGAGTGGGTCCTCAGGAAGGCCAGTGAAGCCACTACGTCCCGTACATCGTGGGGACATGGGGCCATGGGGACTTCCCAAGGTCAGCCTCCTCTATAACCTGCCACAACCTGTCTGCCAGTCCCTGACTGACAGCAGGCGGCCCGACCGAGAATGACTGAAGAAATGATGCTGGCTGGTGGTGTGATAAGCTATAGTGGAGAGGTATTGGCGGGGGGTCCCAACCGGGCAGAGTTGATGGTGCTCGCCCTCCACCTTTCATGCTGGAACCGCTATGGGCTGGAGCCTGTGGTTCTCCTACTCATTTTTCGCCAGGGAGATGGGAGAAGGTGCCAGGGACACTGCAGAATCTCTTTGGGCGAAGGAGGTCCATTGGTCGAACCTCGTGAGTGCCTTGAGCTGGGAGGACCCGAAGCCAGTGGCCAGCGCTACGAGGAAGAGGGCCACTGTAGTAGGCGGTCCTTTGACAGTCGGATGGTGAATGGATCTTGGGGCAAGACAGATATCAGATTAATCCGTGTCATGGTAAAACCTGCATAGTTACAAGAACATAGTAAAACAAACAACATAAGGACAGTGTCCCTCAGGCTAGGTTGTCAGTATAGTTCACAGGACTGATGGAGTAGTACTTACCAAGCCCAGAAGAGCGAAGACTTTCTCCAAGGAAGCGAAGGTAGGTGGCAGTCTTGCAGGTGGTCACTGGTGGAACAGGTCACGCTTCAGCAGGGTAACCAACCTGTTATTAACCTTCACCCCGCTCCCATAATCCAGGGAGACGGTGAGGGTAGCCAGGTGGACGGAGAGGGTCTGGATTGACCTGCCTCGCTCGTGCGGTAGAGACAATAGGAACTCTAGAACTACACTTTCACTGGGCATGGGAGCTCCCTGCTCCTTGAGGAATTGTTAGAAGGCTTTCCAGCAGGACTCGGAATGTCGAGTAGTGGAGGGTCTTAGTCCTGACAAGATGTCCTCCACCACTCAAGGCGAAAACAGTCTGCTCAGGGAGGAACAAAGAAACTCGACGTGTGTAAGTGAAGTGATCGCTGTAGCCTGGTAATGATGGGATCGAAGAGGCAGGGGTTCCCCAACATCAGTGGATGCGGACACCAGACGAGTAGTTCTGAGAGCCATGGTTGAGCCGGCCAGTAGGGGACCAGGAGGAGGACCTTCCCCTCAAATTGAAGCTGCGAAGCTTGTGACAGACCCGTCGCAGGACTTTGGAGCAAGGGGATGGGAACAGGTAGATGTAGGTCCATCTGTTCCAGTCCTCCATGAAGGCGTCTGGGCCCCCGTGTGGTGTCGGCGTCAACCGACTCCAGTAAGAGGGGAGTTGGGCAGATGTCTGAGAGGCAAAGAAGTCCACATCCAGCCGACCCCCACCTTTCTATCAGTGACTTAAACACACTCTGGTGTAGTGTCCACTCTACTGACGTCCCGTAGAAGTGGCAGAGAGCATCAGCCCAGCCGTTCTCGATCCCAGGGACATGGCAAGTGGACAGGTGGATAGTTCAATGGTGTGACTCCTTGAAGATCTGATCCGAGTGACAGCAATTGGACTGAAATTAACGTGCCCTGCCTGTTGAGGCAAAAAACGGCTGCTGTGCTGTCTATTTCGAAGCAGATGGCCTCGTCCTGGGTAGTCTGGGTGTCCTCCAAGAATCTCCAAGCCAAGTACGCTCTCGTACGTTGATGTGAGCCGCCCTCCACTCGTCTGTCCAGCTCCCGAACTGCTGGTGACCCTTGGAATACTGGTACCCCCAGCCTACGTCGGAGGCATCCGACGCAACGAAGAGGTTGGGCACTGATGGGACCCAGAGCGTCACCAGTGCAGGGCGTCGGGAGACAGCCAGGGGCGTTGAAGGGTGAACAAATGAGGGGCACGGGACGTGCAGGATCCCTGGGTTCGAACCGGATGGCCGCATTGATTTCCCTGGTCAAGCGGTGGAGAATCAAACGACCCAGGGATACCACCTCTTCCACGTAGTTGAGGGAGCCTAGGAGGGTCTCCCACTGGCGGTGAGTGAAGCCGGCCGACATTGCGGCAATAAATAGGCGCCGGAGTATTCGTCGTGCGTTGTCTGGGGAGACGTGGATGGAAGCCGTGAAGGTGTCCCACCTCATCCCCAGCCACACCAGTTGTTGTGATGGTGAGAGGGAGGACTTCGGGTGGTTGATTCTGAAGCCCCTGCCCTCTGCCATGGCCAGTGTTACCCTGGTGCTTGATTCGCCTTCTTCCTTTGACGAGGCCGAGATCAGCCAGTCGCCCAGGTACATGAGGACGTCTACTTTGTGGTGGGCGAGCTCCCTGGGCAAGACCCACACGATTCTGGTGAAGACTCTCGGAGCTAGGGAGAGACCGAAGGGGAGCTTGGTAAATTGAAACACGTCCCCCTCCACCTGGAAGGCCAGAAACTTCCTGAACCTCCTGTGGATTGGGACGTGCCAGTAGGCGTCTTTCAGGTCGATGGAAGATAGCCAGGCCCCTATTTGAGATGGCGAGGCTTGAAAAACGGTTCAGGCTGCCGAGATCCACCACCAATCTCTCCCTGTTCGAGTCCTTCTTGGGGACAGTGAATAACTGGGACAGAAAGACACGTCCTTCTGTCCTCTCCACTTCCCACTTTTGCGGCAGGGATTGGGCATGCTCCTTTATGTAGCTGCTCACTTTGATCTACTTGTTGGGTGTCCGGACGACCTGACGACCCTCTATGCCCAGCCGCCTGAGGGCCAGGAGTTGACCCAACCAGAAAGGAGGCTCCTCTCCGGGTGGTTAACTGCAGGAGAACTGCTGTTGCTGACCTTTCGCTGCCCTGCGTGAGGAACCACCCCTAGAGTGACCACTTTCACGGCGAGGTTGCCGAGGCTCCTAGGGACCCTGCCCCTGGCGGGCTCGAAAGAGCAGCTAATGGAAGTTCTGGCGGGGGTTGCAGTGGGAGGCCTGAGAACGTCTCTCGTTGTTGGAGTGCCTGGGGAGCTGTCTCTGTCATTATTGTCACTGCTGCTTAGGGTGCCTGGTCTTGGCTGGCGCCTGCCGAAGGGTAGCAACCGTGATGAAAGTCGACTGCGCGGCCAAGCATTCTCACAGCGCTTCCTCTGAGATCAAGGACTGGACAAAGGGTGCCAACCGTTACAGGCCTTGCCGCACTTCAGCATCCCGGTGTCTATTGGAGGTTTAGTCGGGCACCTACCGCCTTAACCAGCTGAGGGCGATGGTTGAATGCCTAAGTGGTGGCGAGACGTGAAGCAAGGGTGGAAAGGTCCTCATAGACGCCGGATGCCAAG